AGCAGTAGTAAGTAGTAGTAGTAGTAGTAGTAGTAGTAGTAGTAGTAGTAGTAGTAGTCGTAGTAGTAGTAGTAATTAGTACTAGTAGTAGTAGTAGTAGTAGTAGTAGTAGTAGTAGTTGTAGCAGCAGCAGCAACAGCAGCAGTAGTAGTCCACGTCGTGGAGGTGGCAGTGGTGGGAATACTTCGAGTCGTAGTACTAGAAGCGTGGTCGAAGTGGCGGGGGTACAGCTGGTACTGATGCTGGTATAATCGTACAAAAGCTTAAGACTGCTCTGATTGGAACTGCTGCCTCTTCGCATGTTTACATGCAGCCCTAGCAAAATTTAAAACAATTTTGCTCCGTGCATGCCCCCGCCCTAACCGCCCTAATAACCGCATGCACCGTGCATCCACACGCTCTCTTCCTTTTGACTCGTGCTGCTGGTGCAGCGGTTGTCCGACCTCCATGTCGGGCCGTCGAGAGGCTCCTTGCCCCTCTTTCTGTTGATCCCACGACCCTCTATCCATAAAGGAGGCCCCCCGGACCCTCCCTCCCGTCACTTCGCTCTAACCGGTTTCTCCGTCGAGGGAAGCGGGTCCGGGGTGGGTCGTAGTCCCAGCCCGGGCACTGGGGACTTAACCCCACCTTGCCCTCAACAGCTGTTGCGTCCGGGCGTCGGGGCCGAAACTCACCCTCAACACCACAAGCTTGAGCCCAATGCCCACGGAGCCAACACAATCTCCCTAACCTCCAAGCACTCAGCAGATTGTTATTTCTTACATGAATGTAGTACACAACAATCTTGCTCCGTGCATGCCCCCACCCTAACCGCCCTAACGGCATGCGCGTACTACGCGTACTCCGGGGGCCCCATTGTTGTGGGGACGAGTGGCGGCATGGCTGATGCGCATGGTGCAGGCCAGTTTGGGGTCGCGGAATCTGTGGTAGCAGAAGCGAGAAACAGCACAACGTCCTCCGGATCCTCCTGCCCTTGGTCATGGTGCCAAACTGGCAACCAAGAAAATGACGTTGCGTAAGAGTGTTCCGTGGATTGGAACGGTGTTCACCGCTGAAGGCCTCCAGGAGCTCCGCGTGAGGAGCCTGTCGACTGGGTCCACATGGCGCCCCCTTGCAGGACATCCTCCGTGGCAAGGCGGGCGAAGGGAGCCGACCTGCTGAAAGGTGCGTCTCCATCGCAGAGCTCCAGATAGAGAACCCGGAGAGCTCCATGATGTGGGGCCTCAAGGGGTTCCGGCAGTGTGCCTTCGGCGGGCCCCACGGTAAGGCTACCCGGGTGGTGTGTGGGAACGCGCCCAGCTTCGGCTTTCCGGTGGTCGACTCCTTCAAAACGGACCAAGAGGTCTGGTTGACAAGTGAGGCCGCAGAGTACCCGAGTGGGCTCTGCGCCGCCTGGGCTGCAGGATGGAGCGTAGAGCGGGAAAGGAATAGGAAGAAGGACAAGGACCTGAACCATCCGGGAAAGTTTCGCAAGAAAGGAAGGTTTGGGAATTAGGTGGCGCTGGAGGGTTGGCAGGAACCCAAGGATCGCCCAAGCTGACCTAAGCCTCGGAGATGACTCGGAAGCAGGAGAGGGAAAAGAAAACGAGAGCTGCAGCGGGGGAATGAGAAACCCAGCAGAGGCGGTTGCGCGGCTTCCGGGCTGGAGAAAGGTGGGGAACATCCTCGGAAGGGCCCTGGATGAAGCTGTGACAGGCAAATGTTCGGTTCAAGGAATTGTTGGGGAATTGTTGGGGAGCCTCATGGCCGAGGAGGAGGCCTCCACTCTGGCTGAGGAGCTGGAGAAAGAAGCTGCAAAGGTGGCGCTCAGAGTGGCCCGCGAGCTCGGGAAGCACTATCCGGGGGACGTGGTCGGCGACACAGAAGTGGAGAGGTGGCGCGACGACGGGCGCCCCCCTGATTGCGGCGAAGGGAGTGTTCCCAGAGGCGGGGCTGTCCGAAGCACAGCGAGCCTCCCAGCAGTATTACGCTGCTCGTAGCTCTGGGGAATGCGTGCGAGTCCTTCGCGCAGAACTGCCTCGAGTCGAGCACCGAAATCTCCCGTTTGGTCGAGGCAGGGAACTTAGAAAAGATCAAGAGGTGGCCCGAGGCGCTGGCTACGAAAGTGGCCACCCTCGTGAAACCACCAAGACTAGGCTAGTGGTTGACATGAGGCGTAGCGGGGTGTACTCCTTCAGGAGCGCATCGTTCTCCCGCGAGGTCAGGATGCCGGAGGGGATCCTAGACCTGAGCGCCGCGAACTGGTCCTGTCCTCTACCCCCGACCAGTTTGTCCATGGATGTGAGGACTTCAACGCCAAAAGGCCACCGCCTTAGAGAGCCCTGCGTCGCCTGCGAAGATTTCCAGCAACCTTCCTGGCCGCTTTGCGTCTCTCCCCTCGCCAGCCCTCCCTGCGGTGGGCCGGCCTCCCAGCTCAGCTTATTCCCCTCCCCCGCCTCCCTCGCCCGCCCGATGCGGGCACCGGGGCGGGCCGCAGGCTCTCAGTTATCCGGCGCCCCTTTCTTGGGGCACTTCGTGTACGGGTTCCCCAAACAGATCTGGCATACATGCACCCGATTGTTGCGGCACACTCCGGTGCACTTGCCTGTCCCGTACCCGTAGCAAATCTGATTGCCTACCCTATCCGTGATAAAGCGGCCTTGCTGATATCTGGTCTGGCGTCGGCTCTGCCTCGGGACGGACGGGCAGTCCTTTCACCAGCTCCAAGTTGCGGTAAAAGCGGTCCACGTCTACCTGGTCCAGCTTGGGAACCTCCCCGTCATCTCCTTGGTCCAGCACGGTGCTCATCTTCACCTTCCGTGCGGTATCACTGGGATTCCCCGCGGCCGCCAAAGCCGGGGGTGGACGCCGCAGCGACTAGCTGCTGAGCCGCGGTGAAGGGGTCCATGTCTGGTAAACCCAACTCCAGCCTCGCAACTCGCCAAAGCAGCCCCAGTTGCGTAGCCTCGATGACCCGGATCTGCCTGGTGGCCGTTGGAGATCCTGTGGTCGGCGCGGGTATGCGC